GAAATTGATGAGAGATGCGAGAGGGTTGAGGTTGAGAAAGGGAGGAATTTAGAGGACATGACTTATGGGGAGAGGGCGAGTGCTGGTTTATAGGGGTCTGGAATTGTTACGGTACAGGTTGGGGCGAAGATTCCCTCATGTCCGAGGGAGAGGACGCTTCCCGCTCTTTGGGATTCAAATTTTGGGGTGGTGAAGGTCGTGGGTTGTGTGCCTGATCCGGTGGGTAAGAGGACGTACAATGTGCTGGGATTGGGATGCATAAGCTTCTCGCAGACGAATAGGTGGTAGGTTAGTTCATACCTGTCTCGATGGATTCGTCGCCACTCACGAAGCAGCTTCGGCGGAGTCCACTTCAGAGTCGGGCTCTTGCGAGCGGAGATAAAATGCCCCCGGTTACACCTGACACGCGAAACGATGTGAATACAGCAAGGGGAAGGGTTTCTCAAAATTCAGATCCGGATAGTATGAGCAGAGGGAAAGAGAATCGGGTGCTCAGGGGCGGGTGCAGTGTGAAGAGGCTTACAGGCAGTCCAGCTCTACGAAAGTATGATGCATTGGACGAATCCACCCAGAGTTTGTCGCTATCCATTGATGGTGAGAGCCATGTGCAATCGGATGCTTGTACACGAGCTCACTCCTCATACAATCGGAAGGACAAATCCTTGGGTCTTCTTTGTGAAAAGTGAGTCCTTTACTTCAGCTGCTGAGCACGCATCACATTGCAGACTTTTCACAACATAGTTCGATTTGTTTAGGTTAAATGTATGCCATATCAAGTATTTCGAGAACCGACAATGTCGAATTTTATCGTCCGCTTCCTACGAAATCTAGGTTTGGTTATGTACTGGTTGATGACGCCATTGGATGGCGAGCAGCTTGGCTCTATAATTGCAGTTTGGTATTTCATACAAGGCTCTAAAATGTGTTGGGTTTTTGACATTGAGTGTATTAGAATTGGTTTAGGGCTCCTCGCTTTGACGAAGTCTTTTTCGGAACCCCTTTTTTTTTTTTTTTTCCTTCTTCTTCTTCTTCTTCTTCTTCTTCTTCTTTTCTTTTTCCTGTAACTATACGAGATATGCTGAGTGAGTTACATTGGCGCCTCTAATAATTTTGCCACATGGGAACTGAACTTTTGCCCTCACGGGTAACATCGTTGCAGGAGTACTGTTCTCAACGAGGAAATTTTACAGTAAGTTTCGAGTACTAGGTTAGCACTAGTCATTGCTAATGCTGATGGTGACGTGTTGTTGCAGCTTCTTGAATCTGTATGGGACCGAGGAAGGAGAGTGCATTAGTCTCGATGAAGCTGCGAGTCGTTTAGGTGTCGAGAGGAGGCGTATTTATGACATTGTGAATGTTCTCGAAAGTATAGAGGTGCGTTGCCCTTGTCTATTATTCATGAATTGGTCGGATCACGGAGGTTTTTTTTTCCTGGAAGGGATTTGTAAACCTTACAGTACGATGCGTTTATGCAGTGTAGTGTGATTGTCACAGTTAAGAGCTGTTGTGCTCAAGGAACATTCTCTTTCGGACGAATATTTTAGTTCGAGAAATCTCAAAATTGATATGTTCGTACAGATTCTCATTCGGAAAGCTAAGAACCGTTACACATGGCATGGATGCACTAGGCTGCCTAAAGCCCTTCAAGCGTTGAAGGTATCATAATCTGTTAGATGCTCGTGTTGGTCGGTTATATTTCAATCACGAACTTGAATTCATTCATGCATACATGACGTGAGCAGCAACGTGCACCCATTTTTGTAACCTCTGCCTGGATCCAAATACTACCGTGGTACTAATCCCCCTGACGTCTGAATTACTTAGGATTCAGCTTTACGTGATTACGGATTAGGGGAGTTCGCCAATACTTCGAGTCCTGAAGAAAGGATGCCCGCAGCTGTGACAAATGTACATACCACCTTCCCCAATTAAAAAATTGTGCTCTTGGAATAGAGTGTTAGCAGCGACTGCTGGTTTTAATTCCAGTTTTGATAGACGTCATGTTTATCCGGATACCTCCTTCAGTAGATGGCTGTACTGCATTAGAGCTATTGGTTCGATGTTTTCATTATCACAGTTACAGCTAAGAAACTCAACCGCTTATTGACATTATCCAAATCAGCTCTCTTCAGAGCTACGATTCATGGATCGTGACACCTGATATACTTCTTTGATTGAATTGGTCCATCCTCGTGCAGGATTGTGATTCTGATGACGACGAAGAACGGAAAAATTTGCCTTCACAAGGATCAGAGGGACGTGCTTCGGTTCAATCCCAGCAAAGTGAAGCCCCTAAAGCAAAAACAGGTATTATAGGAATTTGTTTATATGGTACATTTTTTTTTTAGCAGCGAATGGAACCAAATTTTTGTCGATTGAAAGTTCTGCGGTGGGTGGGTCTTGCGATGTGACCATCTTTGAAAACCTACTCCACTGAATGTGCTTACAGAAGCTGTGCTTTTTCAGACTGCCGGCGCGAGAAGTCGCTGGGACTCTTGAGCCAGAAATTTGTGCAGCTTTTTCTGGTTTCCCAGGTGTGAATTCAGGCATTTATGGCAAACAATTTCGTAGTCTTATACATGATACAGTTGCTTGGATCTGACTTTTTATTCCTTCCAATCGAGAAGCCAGTATGCGGTTTTAACCTATCTCCTTACGTCTGCAGTCTCAAGTTGTCTCTCTCGAAGACGCAGCCCGGTTACTGCTTGGCGATTGCAAAGATGCCTCCAAACTCAAGAGTATGTACTCTAAGCATTAATAATTGTGAATTATACTCAAATGCTGCTAATTTATCAAGTTCTCTGCTTGATCTTAAATCACGACTGCCTTTCCTTGTTTGAACATTTGCGTTTTCTTAATGACAGCTAAAGTGAGGCGGTTATACGATATTGCAAACATTCTTTCGTCGCTGCAGCTTATCGAGAAGGTAGGTACTCAGTCATAGGCACAAGCTATATATTATGACGTTCTTTGATTAATTCTTGTAAGTTCCCTGTGACTTTAAGCATTGCCTCATGCCACATGTCGCACCGACGATTCTCTTTTCATGCTTTCTGAAGAAAATCTGAGGTGAGATGACAAGTAGAGTGCATTTTGCTGACGAATCCTAGCTGCCTGTTTTCTTTATTTTGATTGTTGAATCTAACATATGGTTTTGGATGATGCAGACACACATGGCAGAGAACCGCAAACCTGCATTTAAATGGCTGGGCACGAAGGATGACCTTGTTGGCCCAGCTACTCGATTGAGGATATCAGGAACTCAATTCCAGAGCCAACATTCGAGCCAAAGTCCAGCTTGTAGCTCGCTTTCAGTAGAAAAAACTAAAAGAGGTCTCAAACGAGCTTGTATGAATGCTCCGAGTGTGGAGGCCACTCCATCAAAACGAGCTGCCTTGAAGCCTTTGCAGCCAAGGGACCCAAACCTTATGACCCCTTACACAAGAGATGTTATAAACAAACCCGTGCCACTTTATCCTCGTGCATCTCAAATTGACTCTCCTGTCTCTGACCATAGAACATTAAGCTTAGCAGCCTCGCTGCACGATGCAGCCGAGTCTCCAACTGCACGTGGGACGCCAGTTGGATCAACTGGTAAATAAGTCTAATGCTCCTTTGGTCCGTTTTTACGTTATATGTGAATGATGGGTTCAATTTCTTGTGGTCGTAAATCCGTCATTTTTCCAGAGAGGCTCTGCTTCCGGCTACATTTCGACTAAATATATTACGCATGTTTACGCAGGAGGTTGGAGAGAATGGGGTGACATCGTTCAAACCCAAGTAGTTCCCATCACGCCCCCATGGTCTGCGCAGTGTTGTGACCAAGCTGGGTCTTCGAATGCAGCTTGCCCCACTGGCAGAAGTTCACCTATTTGTACCCCAAGCGTAACCAGCTTGACCCCAGGCACACCTAAAATGACGCCTACGAGTGGGAGAAGCTGTTGTACATGTCAATCCCGGGGATCTCTTGATAATTTCTTTCCATTCAGGTCTCCCGGTGCTTTATTTAACCCTTTTTTCCCCCCTCCTCCCTTTCCAATGCACCCTCAGATTGCCGCTGCTGCTGGATTTCCTTCCCCACCACCAGGAGTCGGTCCAGAGCAATATCTGGGACGGGATCCGGCTCCTGTGCAGGAATGTGCACAGCATAGATCAGGCAACGGAGTTGCAGCTGCCGCTGCCATGCAATACCAAAATGAAAGTGAGTCCCTACTCTTTGACTCTCATTCGAAGCAGGTTCCTATTCTTCCAGCTTGTGTCATGATCACAGAGTCTACATTAGGCACGAGAAATCGTTTTCATGCGAGCGTTGATCTAATTTGGATCATTTTATCGTTTGTGCAGCTCTAGGACACATGTTTGCACATTACGTTGAGGCCTGGAAGTCGTGGTACCTACAAGCGGCTTCGATGTCAAACCCGTCGTGCTTCGAATCTCCTCTTCCTGGTCCTCGTTCTAGTACACCGCAGAGCCCTTTACAAGAAGGACCGTGAAAAGCTACACCAGAGGTTTCAGGACGTGCAGAGTGCTTGAATCTGGCTGAAAGCCTTAGTTTTCAGGATTGAAGCTGTAGCAGAAATTTTGACACGTGATTGCCTATTGCAGTCATTGGAGAATATAAGCAGTACATTGGAAATTTGCGTCAGATAGGTTACCCATCCCTTGGTGAGAGCTGTAACAGAAGTGTCAATATATCATTCTTTCCTCCATCTGTCTTGGTTAAGAGCGTCTCTGTCTCGAACAAGGCACAAGACCCTGTGCCCCCTTTGGATGGGGTGTTCATCCTGTACAATTGTTAGTTACCGTCTTGTTGATATCTGACATAGGTTTTCACAACTCCACATCTTTAAAGATTGCTAAGAATTGTGTTGATAGTCACCGCCGAATTATTTGTATTTGGTTCGTCCACGTGTATCTGTCACTTGGTTGAAGATTATTCCTGGTAAGATGACGCGTGTATCCATTTAGTACTTTGAAGACCTTTTAGTTTTTTTTTTGACAATTCAGAAGTGTTGCAGTTTATGATTTTTGAACTGTTAAGATACTTCCTAAGTCATTCAAAATTATGATCTCCTGGAATTTCTCTTTTACTTTAAACTAACCAATATTTTGAAGGCCCAAGGATTCAACATAATATGTCTTCCGTTTTATGTCAAATGTGTTCCATGTAGTTAGTTAAGATTATCTACTGCTTTGAATAATAAAATGGGTTCATTAAAACCTTCCCCAGGCCAACGGCTTGAAAGGAAAACTACAAATTTTCATTATTGTTTTTGTGTGGGTTGCTTGTTTGTAATCTCAATACTGCTATCTGGTCGCTGAAGCAAAGTTTAGCACTTATTTCAGTATTAATTTGCCTTTAAACTTCACTTTCGTAAGTACTTGAATTGTTTTCAGAAAACTAATAAATCGAGGTCTACTCAACATTAGCGACTATACTGGAACAACTACTGGACCATGCTTCTACCGTAAATCTTAAGAAGTAGCCACCTCTTCAAATGATGAGCATAGAAAGACCTGGATTTTTTTAATTTTATTTTCACAACTTTCAGAACTTCACTTTGGTACCATTTGACTTAATGAGCCACAAACAGATTATCTCAGGGTTTAGGGCTTTATATCCGGAAAGTGGAACATGCAATTACGGAGCTCAGTGGAAGAGGGGACGTAATTGCGAATGCGGCTGATTACAGGGCTAATTTTCAACATGCCCTAAGAACTTCATGCTTTCTGATGGAGTACTTTATGTGCAGAATTTTGTTGATGCGAGGAAGTGTGTAAATGTCACGGAACATCAAGTTATTAGAAATTTGCAACACTATGCAGCACATCTTTTCTGCAATCAATCTGAACGGGAGATCTCTCAACAATAGGCTTTGGATGAAGTATTTTGGTTGATAAAATTATAGCTTCCTAAACCCCAGAAGTGTTTTTTTTCATCCTCATTTTAGAATTCGGTAGCAGAAAAATCTCACACAGTTTTATCACCGAGCAATTTCATTATGCGGAGTTTCCATGATGCGTTCTAGGTTCACAGGCATCCATACTGTAGGAGTGAGCGACTGAGTTGAGTGTAATTCGAGGTCTCTTTTGTGTGAGGAGTGGTGGCGTTGGGTGATGACAAGCCTGTTTGGCGTTTTTGAGATTCTAGGAAAGCAAAAGGATTTGGCCACGCCTTCAGTTCTTCGAAAGAGCTCTTGCAATGTATCGCCGCGCTCGCCTCCCTTTGCCTCTTGTCGCCGGCGCAGTGGGGTAATCTCCTTCTCCTCTCTTCCCTCTCTTTCATCCTCTCATCTTATTTTTTATTTTTTATCAAATGGTTGTCCCAGTCCAAAATCAGCCCCAAGCCAGACTAGGGTTATGGAGCTTCCACTGTGACGTTCGACTTTTCTGTTGTTTTATTGTGTTTCTTTGCTTGTGGGAAGACGTACAGGCTTGGGGTTTTGTAACGACTTACATGATAGGTTGCAATTGAGTGTCAATCGATTTATATCTACTTGACTAGTGCACGTTTCGCATTTGTTTGTTGAAATTAACTTTTGATTATACCTCTGTAAGGCTTTAGTGCAAGCTGTGGACATTATTTTCGTAGACAACATAGCTGAACAAATGTCATTACAACTTCTCAGGATTGGGATCATGTCCGGTAGCTTCATCTTCCGCCCGGCACTGGAGGAATACTGGTCCCAACATCCAACTGGGGTTGACGGATCACCACCTACCACTGCAGATCACTCTTCACAACCTTTTTCATCAACAAAAGGAGCTGAAGAAGCACCATCATCAGCTTCGCCAAAATAGAGATAGTTTAGAACTGGTTGAACTCATTATTTATTACTTCATGACATGGAAACTTATTTTCCACTTTGAATGCTCAGGTGTCTCACAATGTTTGACCCCTGGATTATACAAATAATGATGAAATGAAGAGAGTATTTGCTAATCCAGGGCACAACTATGTATTTTATCATTTGGTGACGATCAATTCTTTGTGGTTTGGGCTGCCCACCGGCTGCTGTTCTCAGTCGCAGGCGTATAAGCTATGACATCAGTTCAGGTACTGTTCTTCTCTGCATTACAAATAAAATTGCAAAAAATGTATGGTACACCTCAGATTCGGTAACCAGTCCTCCTTTCTATTTCTTGATAACCTATGCTTTCTCTTGTCCGTTACACAATGAGCACATTTTGTCTTAGTTAACACTAGAGCATTAGAATTTTTATCATTGAATCCGGAACCACACCTTCAAATTGATAAATACATTAATGTCTTCACTCCGGATCTGTTCAATCTGTTCGCCAGATAGCATATTTGTGTGAAGTCGGGACATCTTTCGTACATCATAAGCAAATGCAGTTGTAACTTTTGGAGGATCAACTGACTTGGGTATTGTTGCCATATGTGGTAGGTGTCCTGCAATTCAACTAGTGAGTGTTTGCCTCTAGACAAGGTGAAGTAGCACGAAACGGCATTTGATCGGAATCTGCAAGGGTAACAACTGTAAGGCAAGAATTGAAATTAGTGGCAACTATCTGTGACGACAGGATGCGAACGCACACTTGATGCAATCAACCAGCACTTGTGTGATTCTAACGTCACAAGAATGGGACTTAAGCATGACAGGATCAAGTGGGAAATAACTGTCAGGCTTTTCCCTCGTGCCTATAATTTAACAACCCAGAATAACTCGCAACTATCTCGGTCGACGCTTGCTACTGACTTACAGCCATCTGTATGTGAAGAAATTGGCAGACAATGCGTGTCTTTTACATTAATGTGTGCAGCTGAATCGGCGTGTCCACAATTATGTTAGCCTAAAGAAGGGAGATTTTGTGAAGTCACAGGGCGTGTGTGTGCCACGGAATGGACCACTTTTTTTTTTTATGTATTACGAATCATTGCCAAGAGAATTATGCTGGTTCGGCCACCTCATTTGAGCCCTTTCTCGTGAATGAACCCTTCTCTCGAAAAGCTCCCCAATCAAGGAATTTCTAGGTTTCTGATAGCAACGGCACTCCAGATTCTCATTTCGCTGATTCCACACAATGAAGAGAAGAACTGACTCTCAAATGGCCTCCTCTGATGACCAATCAGAGTAAACCATTTGGTGTGATTTCCTGCTCCCTGCTACAGAACTCCAGGGGTACAACAGGCTTAAACTCTCTTTACCTTAGACAATCTAATACAAAAACGATGTTTTGCCATCCATGTTCTGTTTCTTAAAGAGAGTTGGGTTATATTTAGGATGTTTTTTTTTTTTTTTTTTTTAAATTTTTTCTTTATGGCAAATCAACTAATTAGCTCATATTCAATTAATCCTTTTACAATTGTGTTTCTTACTTAAAGATTATCATATATATATTTTTAAAGACTTAATTATTATTTTGAATCCAATTATTTTAAAAATACACTTCTTTTAGCAAAGATTAAATCTTGCTGAAGCAATTAAATCAAGCAGAGATATTTTTTCTAAATTAACTTGTCTTTGCAAGAACACTTTTTAAGGTCTTTATTCCAAAGGATCAATTATCAAGTCATATAAAATTAAAGTGATTCAGTTCCAAATTTTTCAAATTTGCTTAAATTTCCAAAATTTGTGTAATGTAATCTTAAAATTTTAAAAAGAATACAAGGTACAATGACTATTAACATAAAAACTAACTAATCTTCTCTATGTATTAACAACCACTTCTTTTTGCCATAGTAGTGAAATAAACATTACTTCTTTTTAGAAGGGGAATTTAGACCAAATGTTATTTTATTTAAATAGAAAGCCTTGTTTTAGTAAAGAACTCCATTTGTTGGCCATTTGATTGATTGAAGGCACATTTCTTTGAAATAGATTTCAGCCAAGTTTAGCCAAGAATGTTATTAGTTCTTCACTAAATTTTCAAAAGTAGAACTTAAGATTAAAGGTTATTCTACATATCATACCATTAAAAAGATCAATGTCTTTCTTCTTGTTTTTTTTAGAGTGTTTTCAAAAAGTATCTTCAAATTTTGAAAAAAATAGTCTTATGGTTTGTATAAATACCAAATTAAATATTTTCTTTAAGTAAGAAAATATTCTTATTATAGTGTGTAATTCTTGATTGATTTTTGATTTTTGATTTTTTTAAGGTTAAAAGAGAAGGAATTCATTTGCCTTCTTCAATTCTTTTATATTTGAAAGATAGTTGTAAAACAAATATAATAAGTTGATCTTCATTTAAGGTATATGAGCAAATTTAATCTTGATGTTTGTTTCTTTGTTAGAAAAAAATAATCTATCTTCTATAACAATTGTATTATAAAAAAATCTATATATAACTAATACTTATATTAATTGATATATAGATCATATTTTTATTTTTATTTTTTATTTTAATAAACAAAGTTGTTGAATCTTTAGAAATATTAATTCTTTAGACATCATTAGAATGAAAAGTTGAAACTTAGTAAGAATTAAGATGAAAGTCAATAAATAGAAATGTTGGATTTTATTAAAGAAATCAATTTTGAACTTTAAGAAAAAAAGGTAGAAGATGAAGCTCAAGACAAGCACATATTTGCATCTAAACTTTGCTAATATTTTACATGTTTTTTTTTAAATAAAGATACCACTCATAATTTAGAATTAGTATCTATGTAAAATTTGGAAGCTATTGATATTAAATAATTCATTTAGCATTCATCAATTTGTATCAAATAAATTATTGAATATTTGAGTAGCTAAACTGTAGAACTTCTATAATTAATTTAATTTTATTATTATTATTATTATTATTATTATTATTATTATTTTTTGTAGCCACTTCTAAGTTAATTTTACCAAGTCTACATTTGAAATGAGTCTTATAA